CGCTCACGACCCCCCGTGGCGAGGGGGGGGGGGGGGGGGGGGGGGGGGGGGGAGAAATAAGAAACAATGGGAACAATCATACAGGCCTTATAAATAAGGTTCAAACAAAAGGCACTGTGTTCCGCATTAGGACTTACAAACTTCCTTACTTCTTAAGTATCCCACTTATATTTGTGTTCATACTCAGAAACTTCTTCAGTGAGAGCCAAACAATAGTTTCCTGTTTACCACTAAAATCAGCAAAACAAAAGATACACAAATATAATCTGAAGGTCTCTTCTGAAGGATGCCACACTCATGAATAGGAACAGAATATTTTGGGGGTTTTTAACTCATTGACATGCATGAATATTTGTAAATGCTTAAAAAGCTACAAGAATGAAGAGTCTACTGCATCTGTCACGTTCATTACACTTGGTCTCGTTTTTGTTTTTTTTAACTAATAAGAGCTTTTCATTCAATATGTACTCGAACGATTAGGCTTGCTAATTAATAATACTACGTATTTTGGTTTACAAAGCAATTAGTAAACATGAAGGTAAACGAACAAACTAAGCCCACACTACCGTGACACGTCAAAGTGAACTTGTTTTCAAACCAGGGAAGTTGTCCTGAAAGACTTATCTGAATGGTGCCAAGTTAGCCCCTTCTTGAACTTAAAAGCTAAGATGCAAAATAATTAGATATAAAATAAAACAAACTATGAGTCCACCTAGGTAGGAAATGGTATTATAGCAGGCTACTCCTACACAAACACACACACAGAGCACCGCCGACGCTCTTTCTCTGGATCCTGACCCCGTACGTTAAGGAAAAGCTAGCTTGCGTGGCTAACAAATAAAAAGTAAGCATTCAACCTGCAGTGTTACAGTTTTGCGGCAGGCCGCGATGCCACGCGCTCGAGCAACTCATTCTGCGCGTGAAGACCAACAGTCGCGTGAAAAAGATCGTTACTTTTCTCCATAACAATCCAGCCCGTGCCTCCAAACCCCCCTTTCATCTCCTTAAACAGCACCTCGTATCACAGGCACTTACAGACAACCAGGTCCAGCGTCTTCCTGCTTCCTCCGTCTAATCCTCTCAGCGAGAAAAACAACTCGATTGACTTTCAACAGCTTTCCATAACAACCCGCGGTGGCAGGAAAGACGGAGCAGGCGAGCGGAGCGACGAGAGCTGCGGCAGCCAGATGTTTCCGAGCTGTTGCTACTCAACTCTCCTGTAAAGAGGAAGCGCTTGACTGGCAGCGCGCAAGCCAATGGAAGAGGCGAAGAGAAAAGCGAAGGCAAATTGGAAGCTGCCGCTGAGGGGGGAAGAGGGAGGGATGTGTCTCTCTCGGCGTAGGTTGACACCATAGGCAACAGTGAGAAAGCAGAAAAAAGGCCGAGCGAGCGGACGGGTTCCTCGAGCAGACTAGCGCAGCGCGCGGATCGAGGGACATTGCGCAATGTTAGGTGGGTACTGTAGTCACGGGCCGAGCAGCGGTGAAGAACAGGTGCACTGCAACTTCCTCCAGCGCTGCGGAGAGACGCTGACGGAGAGAGATATAGGCACAGAGCCACTTACAAAACATTCTAAATGAGGAACAGAGGCACGAGTGTCTGATGTAGCCTAGCTCTAAAATTATTACTACAAAATAAAATGAAAAGAAACATTACATTTCAGAAGGGCTTATAATTTCCTAATATTTGGCGTAGCAAAATAAGGCTATAAGCGGACGAAAAAACACTTGGGCTATTGTAATTTGTTATATTGTTATTATCCTTGCCTATTATTAATATTATTATTAGGCTTATTGTTATTATGTGAAATGTTACCAAGGTGTTTCGTTTAGTGGCAGCTTTAATTGCGAGATTAATACATTCATTCACATTTCATACGCGGGCAAACGGCATTACTGCAATATTGAAGTTAAGTTAAAAGAGCCCATTGGCCTTTTATTTTTATTTAATTTGGGTTAAATTATAATACAGTGTGCCGCAGTGAATATTGTTACAGAAATGTTGTGCTGTTGCTATCACCGCTATCTTTCTTTGGAAAAATAAGTAGGCCTATGTAAATCATTTTCATAAATGAAATGTATTTAGATCAAGAAATATAATTAGAAAAAGAAATAAATGCAAATGAATGAATGAATGAATGGATGAATGGGTCATTTGATGAGACATGACGCTAAATGACAAACACTGGCAGCAGGATTGTATGAAATGTAAAGAAAATAATCAGTCATAAGCAATGTCCTGAAGGCTAGATCCCTGCGCTTGCGTGCCATATATAGCTACAGTTTGTGTGTGAGATCGCGGCGTCAACAGGTGAACGTTTGCAACGCTAAGTAGGTATGTGCAATGGTCCACAGACACGCTAAGTTCACTCAGGACCTTGTGAACACAGTCAAGTGTTTGGCGTATTTGGCTGCTAAATGCACCGCCCATCAGCATCCACGCTCCCACACTCATGCGTCCCAGTAAACTAATTGGCGTTACTAATACATTTCAAAACAAACCACTGTCCTACTGGTACCGGGATCTTGACATAATAACATTTTAATTTAATGCAAGTAATGGACTCATTATTGCTGATGTGGCAAATGAGTCCAGGCATGTGATGTGCTGGTGTTTTCCATGTCGTCACCCAGCAATCTATTCTTTGTTTTGTACAAGAGTTATGCCACGACTATCACACACAACAGATCACATCAATTATAATGAAATATAAATCAAATGAAATGTTATGTTTCCTCGTTTTCATTACAGCTTTTCATTAAGGTTATATATTAATAAAACACAAGTGTTATTTAATTTGAATGCCCAGGGTTTTTAAGTATTTAGTCAATATATTAATATTTCAGTTTTGAACAAAAGGTACATTTTACCAAACAATCACCAAGTAATACACTATCCCAAAACTGTTTTCATGCAACAACAAAAAAAAGTGCGTTTCACATAGTTGCCACTATTAGCATAACTGCTGTTAGTTCTCTGCTATGATAATCAACAGGCCTTTTTGATCCCAAATGTTTTTGGAGATGACAGTCCCTTGAATACGGCTGTGCCATCAGCAAAGCATGGCTGATGTTTGAAATGATATTTACTGGAGTTCTCTCCATCTGTTCAGACTGAAGTAAAAGATGTGAGGCCTCGCTTCTGTGCAACTGAGAGCAATTTTCTGAAGAGAGATAGAGGACTAGTAAAAGTCATTTTAATTTATTGTTACAGTAATAGAAATAATCGTGACTTGGTTTTATTAACTGATAACTGTTAAGTGTATATTTTACAGTAGTTTCAATATATTCAAATGAATATAATGAATTATATTTGCCATATAATTACACCTTACAGCTGCCTCCAGAAAGATGGAGGATATGCCGTTCAGCAGTATGAAAGCACAAAAGCAGAATTTGGTATTTTATGTGTTTTTGTATTGTTATGCTTGAAATTTCAATGTATGCTTATGAAAATGTGTATACACAAAGCAAGACTATGTTCTGTATTTGTGTGTACATATACACAGGCTATAACGCTATGAGAGCCACTGAATATACACTGACATCAGGTACTTCTGCATTCCCACCTCTTGAGGTCACTGTGGAATCCATGTTTGTGGATGCTACTGGATTCACTCAACTTTCACCATAAACACAAATATAGCTGAAGCCTTTTATGCAATCTTACATGCACAAGATTACACATACTTCACACCTTAAGAGTATATAATATGTGCTATTTATAGCAAAAATAGGGAAAATTGGGAATATTAAAATATTTGCAGTGGAAAGCTATTGTGCAAATTGCTCATCCAAATTATGAGGGATTTCATCTGGAGATAAGCTATTAGACAGACATAAACACATGTTTATACAAGTACTCATTTTGAATGCTCTACAGTTAACAATGCTGGTTTTGTGTCCTGATCTTAAATACATTTATTCTCTCTTTGAAGCCATAGAGAGCAAAGGGACGGGTCCCTTCTCTGGTCTGGCTTCTGGCACTTACATCTGGACTGGACACTTTCTTAGTTTCAATTTCAAGAAGTACTTGAGACCTTAAGGTAGTGGGTAGTAATTTTTGACAGGAATGAAAACGAGGCTGTGAGGTATAGATGTACAGTGCGTTTAATGTATTGTCTAACAACATTCCAGTTGTTTAGCTGATGAAACGTCTTTCCAGAAAGAAAAAAGTGACGTGACATGTGGCCAAGTATGGTGACCCATACTCGGAATTAGTGCTCTGCATTTACCCATCCTAAGTGCACACACACAGCAGTGAACACACACAAACCGTGAACACACACCCGGAGCAGTGGGCAGCCATTTATGCTGCGGCACCCGGGGAGCAGTTGGGGGTTCGGTGCCTTGCTCAAGGGCACCTCAGTCGTGGTATTGAAGGTGGGAGAGAGCGCTGTACATTCACTCCCCCCACCTACAATCCCTGCCGGTACGAGACTCGAACCCACAACCTTTGGGTTATGAGTCCGACTCTCTAACCATTAGGCCACGACTTCCCCACAAAGGAAAAAAAAAAGTAGACAAAAACTTCATGAAATACTTTTGGAAGATGTGAAAATGATGTGATCTAGGACCTTTCTATACAGTGTGTGCCATTGTAAAAACTGTAAGTCTATCCCTCACAGCCTCGTGTTAAATTCATATTGGCATGATTGTTTTACATATACTATAACAATGCAAAGGATCAATGCATGCACAGCAATGCTATATATATATATATATATATATATATATATATATATATATATATATATATATATATATATTTTTACA